AAATCTGCTCCGTAGTATTATTCTGCATGGAAGCAGAGAACCTCAAAAGGTACCAACGACAAGCAATCTCATGCACTTATTCTAATCAGGAGTCTGCTCAAATTTAACCAGAAATATGAACAAGTGGGTCTTAGATCAAATCAAGCTTGAACTATCTTTGGAGGCCAAAATACTGAAGCTATAGCTCTCCTACTTTGGGAACATCATGAGAAGGCAGGAATCTCTTGAAAAAAACACATTAACGCTGGGATAGGTGGAAGAGAGCAAGAAAAGAGGAAGATCAAATATGAGATGGGCTGACTCCCTTAAAAAAAGCCGCACATTTGGATCTGTTGGAGCTGAGCAAGGCTGTTGAGGATAGGACATTTTGGAGATTGTTCATTCCTAGGGTTGCCATAAATCGGAGGTGACTTGGCGGCACATAAAACAACAATGAACTGCCTAAACCTTGCCTAAAGACAGTAATGGGCCAGATGCAGGTCAATAGACTGAATTCAGACAAGATAAAAGTTTGGGTGGTAGTGGTGGTCTTGGATTCTGTGACCGAATAGACAGTCTATCTTGGGAGGGGTTGCCTCCCACTTGAAAGAGCATGTCTGCAGTCTGAGGATGGCCCTTAGTCCTTCTTTTGGTGGTGTCCCAGACAGCCTCATTGGTACAGAACACCTCTGCACAGTTTAAGTAGATGCACCAAATACAACTATTAATGGACAGCAGAAATAGCTTAGCCACAGTGATGCACCTTAGAGATGAGCATAAATTTAAGAATGAATTGCAAAATTAATCAAAAATCACTAATTTGTCAATTTGTATTTGTATGAATTGATACTACCAATGAATACAAATTGATGATTTTTTATCAGTTTCTTGGTCTATAAAATAGCCCCTCAGACATCTAGAAACACAAAAAGAGCAGAAAAGCTTTCTCTGACTCTCTTCTACAATCCCCCAAAGTTTGGTGAAGATTGGGTTTTAGACGTCTGGGTTATATACCCACAAATAGGCTCCCAACAGGAAAATTCCCCCCAGGCACCTAAAGACAACAAAACTCCAAAGCTTTGACTGACTCTCCTCTACACCAGTACCTCCAAGTTTGGTGAAGATTGAGTTTTCCCCAAGCCAGGGCACTTTCCTGGAGGGGCCTCTTTGTGAGTGTATAACTCAGACGTCCAATACCTGAAATTCACTAAACTTGCAGGGCTTGTAAAAGAGAGTTAGAGGAAGTTTCTCAGTAATTTTGGTGTCTCTAGGTGCAGGGGGAATGTAAAATGTGACATGATGTTAGCCCTTATCAAATGTCAGGTCACATACAGTATATCGGTGAAGTAATCATGTTAATTTGTTCACTCAAAACAACAACAGTGGCAGTACTGCAGCTCCTTATTGCTAACAAAATTATTGCAGCCCATTTCTTCAGACACTCCCCTGACGAAGTTGACTGCATAAAATACACACTGATATAAATTTGCTAGTCTCAACAGTGTCACATACAGAGGTGCTGAACACATGTTAAATTTCCCATTATTAGCCATTTTCTGAGTTTTATCATGCTGTGACTCCCTGCTGAGACTTCCCACTGCATCTTTTCTGTCTCTCTGCAGAAAATAAAATCTCAGTCTTGTCGTCTTATGAGCGTGCGTGCGTGCGTGCTTGTTTGTTTGTTGTCTTATGAGCGTGCGTGCGTGCGTGCGTGCTTGCTTGTTTGTTTATTGTTGGTTTGCCTTTTGTCCTGCACACAAAACTGCCAAATTCTGCATAATTAATGCCTTTCTTAGTGAATCCTGTGCAAGAAAGATGCCATCCCATCTAGGACTTGTCAGAACCTTCTGAAGATTGGGATTTTTTCTAACCTTTCCAGATAAATGTTGTGCAGGAAAGATACTAACTGTGCAAGGATTGGCAGGATTCTATGCAGCTTAGCATTTCATTGAGGGGAAAAAATATCAGACATTTCCAAGAAGTTGGGCATTCTCTAGCGCTGCAACACTATAGGCATTCAGGAGAAAATTGGACAATCATCTGTCAGATCTGTTTTGATCTGGAGTCCTCCACGGAACAGAGGATTGGATCCAATAGCCTTATAGGCCCCTTCCAACTCAATTATTCTGTGTTTCTATAAGTTCATGGTCATTTTTTCTGCAAGAAAAATGAGGAAAAAATATGGGGTTTTGTTTGTTTATTTTTCGAGACAGAGCAACTGCAAGATTCATTCCCCCTAGCACAATTTTGTTATTGTCTTTTGCTAGGGCATCAGACAAACTCCAATTCTAAAATAGCTCATTCCATCTTTTTGTGGGCCATATTCAAGGCACTAGGGCTGTCTAGGTTTATAAAACTATCAAAATCCCCTCACTGAGGCTTTAGGACCAGAAATTGAGAACATGCCCTCATCCAACAGAATGGATGTGAAATAAAATCTGCAACATCTTGTTGAGACAAGCTATCTCAACAGGTTGAGACAGCTAATGAACAAATTTTTCAATTGCCTCAAGAGTTGTTTTCTCCAGCAAGCAAGTCATCAAGAGGTTTTGGGTTTTTTATTTGGGGGGGGTATTGATTTGCACAATTTACATGAAATGTCTCTCATTTTTTTCCATTTCAGAAGGAAGCACAAAAGGTCAATCTGACTGCTCATAAAGATACAAACAAACCATATAATGCTTTTGCTTTTTAAAAATCAATGTAGCAACAGGATAGCAGGTTATCATTGTTTGATGTTTTACACAATTGTAGAAAACCTCAGTCTACAAATATACAAATTCTCTAAGAAACAAACAGAATTTGTGAGAATGAAATGGTCACAATTTACATTCCTATCAAAGAGATACATACGGCATCAAGTCTCTTCTCGACATTTCAGTGCCAGCTTGAAACCCATCAGTTTATCTGGAAATGTATGGGCTGTATTAAGCTGCTGTTGCAATCAATCTCACTGCTGATTATTTATTGATTGTCTTAAACATGCATTGTTTGCATTTAATGGGTGGGTGCTTTACATTATGTTTCCCACTGTGGCATTTTTATGGAGAATTGAGGCATAAATTATGAAATAATAATATCTTCTCGTTTATTATTATAATATAATTATTTGGACACCAAGGAGTTATAATCTATTCACTGGATCTAGGACCTGATTTCAATTGATGGAAGGGCGACTCTAATCCGATTTTCAGATATTCCTCATTCTGTACATAGAACACTTAGCATGCTCCCGTGGCCCTTAGTTTAACATTCTCAAGGGGGGGTGCAGCACTACAATGGGGAGGAGGTGGCAGGCATTATGTACGCCTGAATCTTGATTCAACTCTATTAATTTGTGCTTGATAGCTCACTA